GCACACTCATAATTTGATGCATTGTCATATCATTTATTTATTTATTTATTTATTACTATTACTATTATTATTATTATTATTATTATTATTATTATTATTATTATTATTATTATTATTATTATTATTATTATTATTATTATTATTATTATTAATATAAAAAGTTCTAAATAAGTATGTTTATAGCTATAAGTCAAAATTTAGGATTTCAATATAAAATTCTTAATTTATTAAATGCTTAATTAGTCACCTTATGCTTCTAGCAACATTAAAATTATCTAATAAATATATACCAATCCACTTAAATCATAGCATCCCAAATTATAGTTAAATACAACTCCACAACAACAACAACAACAACAACAAAGCCTTAATCCCACTACGTGGGGTCTGCTACCTGAATCCTTTTTCTCCATTGCATCCTATTTATTGTCATATTTAAATATAACTCCAATTGAATAAAATAAATATACAAAAGAAACAAACCATAAACCCTGACCTCAAAAGATTTGATATTTCTTTTTGCCACCAGTAAACGCGCGCTAACAACTAGCTCACACTATGCTTTTGCTTTACGCTTGATGCTAACTCCCGAGCAATAAAGAACCCAATTTCTTGCCCTAAACCGCAAGATGTTGGCTTGAGAGAGAGCCTTCCCTCCTTCACTTGCTTCGTCGCTTCACGCGATGTCTCAATCATGCTCGAATCGACCTCAAACCCCTTCCTACATGCAAGGTGCACATTCCCCTTGCTACCTTGTTACTCTCTTCCCTATTGCTTCAATCGCAAGTTCTATAGCCCTTGTCAAGGCCTATCGCATCGATCAACGCCTATAATGCTCGCACAGGCTCTGATTGACCGCCTTCTTTCTTCTCCTCCGACGAACCCTCCTCAACAATCATATTCATGCTAAATCGCTTACACCTCCATCGCCATCTTCAAATGTGTTGCTCGGCCTTAAAGGTATGCTCGCAATTACGATTGGAGTGGATGTCACCCTCATCTTGTTCTCTCTTCCTCTCAATTACGTCTCTGCTTGTTCCAAGGATGTCAAAATCATTCTAGTTCAAAATGGAACTTTCGGTTATTCTTATAAAGGTGAAAAGTTTGCATCCCTTGCCACTCATTCGATAAGCTTCGTTGCAATAGTGACATTAAAAGGAAAAATATCGAGGGTTACACCTGAACTCACTTGCGCCACTATCTCGACTTCTCTTCTTGTCTTGCTCGTTTATATTTTCCATGCAAACCTATATCCAGTAATCTAATAACATGTCAATTATCATACTAGCATTACTTAAACGAACTCATAAATTCAAATGAAATAAAAAAATGCCAACTTCAATCATTTAGTACCAAGATTAAGTCAATATAGCCTTTAAGCATCCAGATGTCTTTATATAGTTTGATAATGTTCTTCAAGCTCTATGAAAGTTATCTACTGGGATTACAGATGTTTTCCTTCTTCCCATCTTCTCTTCCTACAATTTTTTATATAGTTTTGAAAATGTCCTTCAAGCCCTATGAAAGAGTCATCTACAAGCATTATAGATGTTCTCATTCTTCACTTCATCTCTTCCTACTCAAGATGGATTTTCCATTCATCGTCTCCTCTATGAGGTAGATTTTTCACTGGTCTCTCTTCGAGATGGATGCCATTAGCTCACTACAATTGATAGCTTTTAGTTCTTCATCCAACGACATTTCAACTTTTTTTAGTAGAGTTCCTTGTATTTCAAGGAAGTTGATGCATGCAAGTCAACCTAAAACCCAGGTTTGTAGTCCTTATTTGTCTTACTAAATTAATTATAAGTAATTTTAATGTCATTTATTATTTAGGATTGGTTGACACTATTTAATCTTTAAGAATTTTTTTAATAAGGAATGATTTTAGAAATAGAACCTAGAATCTTATAATTCATCAATTTAAAAAACTCATAATGAAATAAAAAACTACTTATTTTGGCTACCTCTCTAGAAACTCATTCTCTCATTTAGGGCTCCTCATTATTATCTTGAACTTTATCTTGTACCACTCTTCCATCGAGGCGGATCATTCAATGAATATCTTACCACTTGCTTTCTCTTCTTCCTTTCTATACCAACTATTTCTCTTCTCCAACAAATCAAAATATTAAAAGAAAAATCCCCTAGAATTGTATTAAAGAAAATCCACCACGATCTTTTTTCCAATTGAATTACTCATAGCAATTAATATCACAGGACAAAACTAGTCAATGAGTCCACTTGCAGTCTTACAGAGTTACTCTACCTTCCGAAAATCTTGCTTCCTCTTCATCTTCTTCGCATAGTCTGCCCACCTCTCACAATCTTCTCTACTTGCAGAATCACAATTTACCCATCTACTAGCTCATCCAAAAGCTTGTATGATACATCACTGATCATAGTAGGGCTCTTGTAACTTTTAAAACCATAGTTAAGGCTGTCTCTTGCACCTCTTGCACCTCTTGCACCTCCATCAACTCCCCATTTCCACTGCATCCACCCACTACCTCACAACCCGCTAATTGCTCAATGACTTCAGTCTAAACATCACTTACACTCACAAAATCGACCGCATCCACTCCTTCCCTCATCACAACTGCCTACTCCTGCACCCTCACTCTCTTCCACTTACCCTTCCAGGTTGGCTTAGCCATCTATGCCTTAAAAACAGACATCTATTACTCAAACAACATTTCCAACTGGAATCCTTGAAAACAACCCCTTGTAAATGCAAATGAAAGAAAAAGGTTAAGGTATTAATGAAAACCTCAGTTAAGTTTTATCCGTATCAATGAGCATAAAGAGCATAATACTTTCAAATTCATTCTAAAATTTTTAGTGTTCTTGAGGATCCACAAAAAGTTTAACTAATATTATTCATGCAAGTGTTCTTCCAATTCTGTTTCTTCTTAGAAGGGATGTTCCATCATTTCTTCCTTGTGGTGCTTTCTCATTTATCTCTCTTCATAAAGATGGATGTTGCTAACCCAATAACAGATTAGATGAATCTCATTTCTTCCTCTAACAGCGTTGCAACTCTCAAGAGTAGACTTCTTGGAAGCCCAAATGAATTGATGCAGTACAAGTCAATCGTAAGCCTTAATTTGTGTAACCCGTTTGCTTTTTAAGTAAATTCTCAATGTTTTTTACGTAATTTGTACAGATGTAGTACTTTGACATTGTGTTTTATTAGTCTAGATGCAGATTTTTCCAATGTTAGTTGAGAATATTCTTATAAATAAGGCTTGAAATCTTGTAACTTGGTCAGTTTAGAGAGTTCCTAATGAAATTGAGAAGATTTCAATCTCCCACCTAAAGTTAGTTCCAGATGCCATCCTCTCTAACTCAAGTATAAATGTTATTCTATGATGTCACCTCTAAATTTTATACCTCAAAGGTTATTTCTTGATGTCCTCTTCTCAACATGATGTCTTAATTTAAGGCAATTCAGCATTCATATAACGCAACCCCTTTGTTCTCTTAATCTGTCAGTACTCCTCCACAAAACTCTTCCTATACTCCAACTCAAAATATCAGAAAAAAAAAACCACCAAGATGTTTGTTTCTACAGCCTAGCCCCTCATCAAATCTATTCCAAATGCCTCTAAGATATTTAAGTGCTATTATTGAAAAAATCCTAGAAGTTATCCCCATAATAACACAAGTTGCTTCAGTAGAATAAACTACATACGCCATTGACACAAAAAAACAAGAGGAAAAAAGTGCAATGTGAGTTCAAACTATAGCCAGACTGTTGTAAAACAGGCTCTCATACCTGATTTTACCATGTCCTCACAAATAGAAAATCTAAATTTTTCTAAAGCTGTTTTAACGGCTAATGTTTGTTGAGGCATCATTTTAAATTGTTACAGATGTATATGTCTGTATGCCATCTTCCAGACCCAACGCAAGATGATAAATATGCTCTGAGAAACCTTGGCAGCTTGAGCCTTCATAAAACACAAAAACACACCACAGGGAAGACATTTGCGCTGTCCAGTCCTCACTATTTCAAGGAGATTCTTAAGGCCCCAAAACATAGAAAAGCTCTTTTTCATGCAAATCTAAAATGTCCAACTGATGCTGCTAATTCGAATCATTATCCACAATTCGTTAATAATGTTAGTACCCATCTTAAGTTACAAAACAAATATAACTATGTACAATTATAGTTGAGCATAAACTACAATCAGAAGTTTTTACAGCAATGGAAGAGCAGTTTAAGGTGCCTTTATATCACTATCCACAATAGGTTGATACTGTCAGTACCACTCTTAAGTTAAATAACAAATATCACAGTATATGCAATTATAGTTAAGAATTAATTACATTCAGGAGTTTTTGCAGCAATGTTGAAGCAGTCCAAGGAGTCTTTATATTTTGAATTCTTTTAATGGGGAAAGTTGAGACTTAGAATAGAATTTTCAAAATAACAAGAGAATTTGAAAAAATAGCCCTGTTAAGTTATGCAGATTATTGCACTCTGTTTCTTTGACAAATCAACAAATATAAAACAACACTCATACAATTTAGGGGAGAAAATTTTAAATAGCGTGCATAGCAATCATGTAGACAGTTTGTAATTCTATTTTTGCGGGCGGAAAAATCGTACAAGTTTCAAAGAAAATCAACAGCAAAAAGAGTGTTGTTAAAATAAAAGGAGCAAAGATTAAAAAGCAGCTTTGCAGCAATACTGCAAAAGACGCTAACATAGTTCATGTAAAAAGTTCACAAACGACAAATTTGTAGATTTGCAAGTAGTTGACATGCAAGTAACAAACCATTAGTGATAAAAAAGTCGTACATAAGGCAATGCACTGACAATACCCAGAAAATACATGCAAGCACAAAAAATAATTTAAATGGCTAAAATTTCCAATTATCCAAAAAAATAATAACCAAGGGCGATGGACAGTTGTAACATGTGAAATAATAGAAAATAGTAAGTGAACACTAAGAAAGAGCAACAACTTATCATTTATCATAGAAGGATTCACCTGAGTCACATAATTTCCATACTGATCTTGAGCTAGAATGCAAGCCGAATGTAAAATCTCATCCACAATACAACTACTTTGCAGCTCATCAGTACAATGCTCCAACACTCTCTACAATCATTAAAGACAAATCACCTTTTCTATGAGCAACAGAACATGATAGAAAACTGAGGATCACCCATTACCTGAATAACTCGGCAACCATAGGGATGCATAGAGAGCGAAGCAACATGCCCGCGGAAAGCAGAAATCATGAATCCAATTCTCTCAGTTGGCACGCATTCAATGCACTTCTGAATTACATGGTTTCCATTTTGATCCCGAACGCATCGCAAAACATGCCCATCCAGCTCATATACAAGCTCTGTTTTCTGATCAAGTTCAATTACTTCAAGTGCCTGCAGGTTGGACAAGAATATAAACAGATAGCAATAAATTCAGGTGTCACATGAAATATGAGCTTTTAAATTAACAGGCAAGAAAATTGATAAATACATTTTTTAAAAGAATAAATAAACATTACTTGTCAGTATAAAGATAATAGAGAAAGGAAAAATTCAAGGACATTAGGGAAGGTTATACTACAAGCCATTGAAAGGATTGACCATAAATATAAAACTATTTCTGTGAGTACAGTAGTTGACAATGTGGTTAGTATTTATGCTCCTCAAGACTCATAAGAAAAGTTTAAAACATAGATTTTGGAAAAATATGAATAAACTAATCTGAAGTGTAGAACATAATTATTAAGGGAGGTTTAAATGGACATACAGATTCTGAAAGGATTTGGTAGAAAATGATTTATTACTATATAGAATAGAATAAAAAATGTGATGGGGGGAAACTACACGTCATTGCAAATCTTAGAATAATAAGTACAGACAGAAAAAATGAGAAGATAATTTAATTTCTTTCAAAAGGAAGGCCACAAGATCACAACTACTTTTTACTAAAATAAGAAAGAAATTTCTGCATTGCAAGCGGGTTCAAAAAAAAGGGTTGACCATTCGCATTATAGAATATTTCTTATAGCAAAAAAATATATCGAAGAATAATTATTTTGGGACAAGATGATTGAATTTAAAAATAAGAAATTATCATTCTTTTACAATAACTATACCATTATTAAAAAAAACTTTGAACTTTAATACTCCATCAAAAATAAATAATGGCCATTCATTCAATTTTGATTTATACCATGTGTACTATATATATATATATATATACAATTAATTTTTTAACTTTAAGTTCTTGCTCATAAACATTATATTTAAAATTTTCATAATTGTATTAGTAAATCATTGAGAAATTTTATTTTAAATTGATTAATGTTTTATTATATGATGAAGAGCATGTATAAATCATTAGAATTACTTTAAATTCGTTTTGATAGATAGATTTAAAGAGCACATATTCAAAAGAAATCAAAAAATTCTGCTAATTTAATCAAATTGAGAAAACATCAAATTTGACACCCAAATTTAATATAACGGAAAAACTTGTTAAAAATATTTACATGTACTTTGACAAAATCACTAATTGACTGTTTACAAAGGTTCAAAAATTTTTCAAATATATACTGTTATTGGAATGGGGCGTAATACTCTGCCTAGAGTAATCACATAAAACAAGTGCATTGGAATTAAATCAAAAATTCCTTTTTTCTTTTAATTTATGAAGTCCTAGATATGGAAATTAAGCTAAGAAGAGAACAATTGTCAAAGATATGACAATATAAGCATTGAACACAAAATTGAAAAATTCATGCATCCATTAGTGTGGCTATTTAAGAATCAGAGAGACAACAATGCTTTAAAGAGCATGCATGGCTTCATCTAAGAGTTCTCCGTGTGATGGAAAAATCAGATTTAAATTTTATTAATAAACATAAGTAAATAAGCAATGAAATTATTTAATTCACACAAAATAATCTTTTTATCACACTCTACTATGATATGTATTGAGGTAGAAAAATATAACTGCTTGTGCTTAGGGTCACACAACACTTCAAGAGTCTGACAATTGTGCTCATTGTAATACAATAATTTTTAAAATTAAGGAATTGAAAAACACTGAAAATTTATTGAGCATATAATGAGAATAATTAACTTCTACATTTATATCATAAAAGAATAATATTTCAACTAAGGATGGCCTTTTAAATTTATTTCCTATTTCAAAAATTGTAAACAAAAAATATTTCAAATAATCTTTACATCCAAATTAATAACATATTCCACTTATGTTGTTGCGCGACAGTTGCCCCAGAAAGCTGATGCGGATAAACTGATTGGATGTTTGTTTATTGTTGTTTGAAAACAGCTGTAGCATAATTGTTTCTAAACAAATGACTATTTTGCCCCTGTGTACTAATGTTGCTTGCAACAGAACTGTCATAGCAATATATTTAGCACTTTAGAAGCAAAAATCTACTTTAAAACAGTGCAAAACATAAGATATACACCTCACTTAGCAGTGTGTATCATCATTACTAAAATAAAGAAAAAGACTATTAAAATAAAATTTAACAATATGATAACAACCACTTCCACACACAACCACAGCCACCGCAATCACGTCCACACACAACCACAACCACCGCACACAACCACAACCACCATAACTACAGCCCACACACAACCACAACCACAACCACCACAACCACCTCCACCAAAAGCTATACCTCGACACACAACCACAACCAACACAGAACCAGCACAGCCACACAACCACAACCGACAATCACAGCCACCAAAACACAACCATAGCCACAGCCTCCACACACAACCACAACCACCTCCACACTGAACCAAAGCCTCTACACAGAACAACAACCTCCACACACACCACAACCACCTCGACACGGAGCCACACCTCCGCACACAGCCACAACCCACACAGAACCAACACAACCACACAACCACAACCCATAACCACAGCCACCATAGCACAACCACCGTCTCCACACACAACCACAACCAAAATCACAGCCTCCACACACAACCACAGCAACCACAACCACCTCCACACAAAACCACAACCTCCACACACAACCATAGCCTCCACAACACCTCCACACAGAGCCACACCTCCACACAACTACAACCACCACAACCACAACCAACACAGAACCACACCCCCACACACAAATACAGCCACAGCCACAGCCACACCTCCACACACAACCACAGCCAGCAATCCACCACTAGGGTCAACCGTCAACAATCTACCAGCAATCCACTGATATTATCATCACAGTAGCCACCCTTTCACAATAACCGCCCAATTCACAGTAAAGTTCATCCCCATCAGCAATAAAAAAAATCTAACATCAATTCAACATCGCATGAATTGCAAAAACCAAAATAGCAGAAATTGCAAAATCCAACAGCAATGCACAACCATATGAGAATCATCGACCGAATAGAGCTCAAAGCATCTAAAACAATCGCAAAAACAAAACGTCATAGAATATAGTGATAGAAAATACCGTGGGCGAGGGAGAGCAAAGGAACCAAGCAAAGCTGAAGAGCAAAGGGGATAGAGAGAACAAAGTAACCACCAAGCCTTGCCAACAGAACCATAAAGAGAGGAGCGAGCAGAGATCTTACCTTTAGGGCTAAGAATCGAGAGAGAGGGGAGAGCGAGTCGCGAGTGAGAAGCTCAACCGCGAGAGAGGGGAGGAAGGGGGTAGAGCAGTAAAAGCCGAGCAAGAAGTTAATACAAAATGCGGTTCGTGGAGTCGAACCCGCGGCCCGCGCTTTATCGAAATGTTATCAAAATGCTATCGCACCGCAATTATCAAACGGGAGAAAAAAAATGGCCATTTCAGGCCGTACCGCGTGACAAAAGCGGCGCCAAATGGGAAAGGGTGAACTAGAAACAACATTGGCCAATGTACTATGGGCATCTGCATATTTACTAGCATTGCTAATATGTGTGAACTGGAATTTTAGTTGTTGAGCAAATCTAGTGTGCAATAAGATGACTTATTTCATTAAGAGACAAATGAATATTCAATTACAGCGGAATTATATCAACAAAGAACATCAGGTTTGTTTGCACTAGGTATGTAGCACAATGGTATTGCCCCTTTCCTCCAAATGGGAAAGGGGAGTTAAAATCCATAAAAAAAGTCTATTATGGAGATAATTATAAAGTATAATTTAAATTGATGTGCCTTGTCGCATGATTTTCGCAAATTTAATTATTGTAATTAGTGAGATGTCAACTGAAAAAAAAAATCTAAATTTATAAACTTAGCTGAAAAAAAATCCTAAATTTATAAACTAAAAGGAAAACCTGTATAAATCAAATTTAAGATTGGTAAAACAAAGATTAGGTATATTATCAACAATTTTAACGGGTGTAATATTAAAAATTAGGAAAATGTACAAACATACTACAGAATTCCTATGTATTTACATATCTAACTCTAGTACCTAAACTTTGATTTTTACACCTATAATGGTTTACCTATGCATGAAAAGATGCATTCCAGTTAGTTATAGTGGTACCTAGGGCTGTCAATTTGGCTCGTTGTTCGCGAACAGCTCGTGTTCGGCTCGTTAAGTAGCTCGTGTTAGGCTCGTTCGTTAAGCTTAACGAGCCGAACACGAACAAATTTTTAAGCTCGAAATATAAAAGAACCGAAAAAGGACAAAAAATATAATAAATATTCATAAAATTAAATATTATAAATTGTAATTATTAAAACTTTTTAAAATATATAAATTTATCAAATTTTAAAAAATTATATCCTATAAATTATAATATATAAGAAATTATTAATAAATATTACTTATATAAATATTATATATTTATATAATATAACGTATATAATTAATATAATATAATATATAAGCCACCCCTCTTCCTACTTCCGACACCTCTCCTCCCTCTCAAAATTGCGAAAGGTGATCGGTCGCGAGAGCTTAGGGTTTCTCGATCGTGTTCGCTGCTCTCCTTCTCCACTCAAAATCGCAAAAGAGTTTCGGCGGCGAGAGAGCTTAGGGTGTCGGCCGCGAGACCTTAGGGTTTCTCGATTGTGTTCGCTGCTCTCCTTCTCCACTCAAAATTGCGAAAGGGTTTCAGCCACCGGCGGCAAGAGGTTAGGGTTTCCTCTTCCTCTTCCTCTTCCTCTTCCAAGACATCTTCCTCTTACGATTCCTCCAATTTCGAGCCGAACTCGAGCTGAACTCGATCCGAACACGAACACTCCCTTCACGAGCCATTTCGAATACGAGTCGATTTCGAACACGAGCCGAACACGAGGCTCGGCTCGTTTACAGCCCTAGTGGTACCTTTGATGTGATATTAAAGGTTTGAGTAACAAATAAAGTTTGGGTGGTAGACATGTAAATACATAGAAATTGTGTGGTATGTATGTAAATGGCCCTAAAAATGATCACTCGGTTATCTTCGATCAATTATAAAAAAGAACGGAGATATAGAAAAGTATTTAACATCTTAAGTTAAAGATGAATCGTTAGAAGGAAGAAGTGTCCAGTTGAGCTAGGCATAAGAACAATAATATAAATGTATAATAAAATAATGAATAAAAGAAATATTGTATTAGAAAGATGGCAAGAGTAACATTTATAGAAAATAAGGTTTTGAAAATAGACTTGAGCAGATTAGATATGTAAAAGAAAGAGTATACACGGAAGACGACAGAGAAATTAGTGTCGAAGGATTAGAAAGAAACACGAGTAAAACAATGTATCATGGATAGAAGTGCAAAAAAAATTTCAGCAAAAAAACTTCAACACCCTTGCAGCACTGGAAAAGAATAAATATAAATAACGAATCACAAAGCCAAACCAAAATACTTGGCATAAAGCTAGTAATGATGATGAGCCCTCATATCAGTTATGAAATGAAAAAAAAAAGTAATTTCCTCAACCATTTATCAAAGAACATTGACAAACTATTGATTTCATAAGTCTGAGAAAGAAATTGAGTGGCATATGATAGATTTGCTACAATAGTGAACTATCATTTGCAGTTAGTACGATCAAAATATATATCCATGTATTAAAGCCCACTTGCGCATCAAAAACTGAGCAAAGCACTTCAGAGTCAAGAATTAAAAACCATGAGCAGCCATTAAGAAAATTATTTTCTAGCGAACAAGATAAAATGAAGCTGATTCAAATTAAGTGAAATAAAACACGCTAAACATATTCTGAAGGAATAATAAAACAGTAGAAAATTAGCACAGCCAATGAATAGGAAATTGAAGTAAAAAAGGCTACGCAACCTATGGCTAAAAAATAAGAAACACCTTTTGAATCACTCGGCAGCCATACATTTGAAGGCTCAATGACAAGACGTGCCCCACAAGCTGATTTGCAAGTTCCTTCCTTTCCTCAGGACTTCCATGCTCAAAAAACTGCGGACAAACTTATTTCAGAAACTGATCAAGTTGATCAACATAACAGGATTTCTAGAAAAAGAAAGCACATAATTATTAAAAAAAGGGGAATATTATGAAAGAATGAACATAAGAACCGTGAATGGGCAAACACAAAAAACTTTTTTAAGGAATTATAATTTCACAAAGCTGACAAAAAGACAAAAGCACCTTCTGGATAACATAATTCCCAAATACATCACTCATTAATGTTGAAGCATGCGGAAGAACTTCTTGAAACACAGATGCCTTCTCTTCAATACTACAGCTTTCCAACTTTTGCTGAATAAATCGACTCCCATGTTGGTCAGCACTGATTCAAAAAAGAGGGAGAGAGAGAGATAGAGAGAATTATTCTTTAACATGAGACCTTGGAAAAATCATGAACCCTCATATCATGCAGCCATATGTGATAAAAAGCAAAAAAACTAAAGAACTTGCCTGAACTCAACAATGCGTCCTGCAATGTCAGATAACTCGTATCTACGGGATTTGCTGGATTTCAACTCCTCAAGAAATGAGTGTAATTTTGAATCATCAATTTTATCTTGTAATCTTGGACTTTGCCATCCAGTATACGTCCCCCCAGCCCTAACAGAGCTTCCAGGTGACCTATTGCTCTCACCTCTCCGGCCAGGAGTCACCGAATTAGCCGCGGGTGATCCCGGATAAAGGGGACTGGTAAGAGGAGAGGAAGGATATTGCATCAAGGAACTAAGGTTCGCGGAGTTCCCATAAAAATTTATATTTGCAGCTCCACCCTTCCGGATACTAGGAGAGTTTGCAACTCCAGATCTCAGGACCTGAGGGCTCTGATCAGATGAATAAGCAAAAGGTAACGAACCTTTCTGTGCATCAAAAACTGGCAAACTCCCAACAGCACTTCCCCTTGGAGCAGTTGGGTCAAATTGACCTAGACTAGAATATGCATGTGCTGAAGGATGCTGAAAATAGGACATATACAATGGATCAGAATATGAATGTTGAGTTGCAACCCCAATTTGTCCATAATATCCAGGAATAACATTTCCTCTGGAGAAAGCACCAGAGGCCCTCACATTGTAATTAGAGCCAGTGGAATTTTCATAAGGAATCTGAATAGCATTATAAGGATAACCAGAGAAAAAGGGTGGCAGAAGCGAAGCATTCACAGTGACTCCACCAATACCAAACTGTGGAGGAAGCAAGTTTGATGGTTGGAGATTAGGGTAATACGGTGCTGCAAAGGCTGCAGCAGTAGCGTAAAGGGGTGGTACAATCCCAGCTGACGGCAACACAGGACGCACTTCCATAGAAGATAACTTGGACTGACTGTGAAGATAATGATCCGAATAATTGGGGCTCTGACTTGCTTGATTAGTCATCTGAGACTGACCAAGATGAACCGGAATTGAAGATCCGCTTTGCAGGCTACTTTGGTGATGGTTTTGTCTTGGAGCATGATTTCTATGAACATCATTTGATAGCTTCAAACTTTTTAAATCGTTTATCATATTCCTGGTACTTGAACCAGCTTCTATTCTGTTTTCCGTATTTAAATCCATCTGGCTCGGCTGAAGCCTACATTTATCTAAGGATGAGGGAATGTTGGATGACACATTTGAAACTGCAGAAAGGTCACTATGTCGTTTTGTAACCGAAGGAATAGAATTGACCTTAGTATTCATAAACTCATCAAGCAAGTTGTCACAAGCATCAGCATCAGTTGTCTGTGTCTGCTCCAATAGACTCGGGGTACGAGGTTGACTGTTGTATACAGGAGAGGGAGTCCTGGGAAAATCTTCCTGAAAAATAAGAAAAGCATCCTGATATTGAAAACAGCAATGCCTCAACAATTACTTCGAAAAAAATTAATCAACTGCAATATCCGGGCCTCCAGTGCACAAGCAACAAATTTATAGCATACATGAAAGCTAAACCATGCAAAAGATTACATCAACGCTTAGCATAACATAAATTCCAATCCCAAAATGAGTACGACAAAAAATTTCATTATACTCTACATGACACTACAATGGGATGGATATCAAAATATGGTAGAATTGAAGTTTTAAGAGATACTAAGATAATTCTCAGTTTGATAAACCCATAGTGTAGCACAAATTTATTATTCAAAGTACAATATTTTAAACGAGTAAAATTGAATGCAATGAATCCATCGCAACTTTTGCAGCTGCAACAAATAATATGAGAAAATAGTATGAAGTTGCAACACAAATGCACAAACGCCCCCCTCCAAGTCACAACTTACATACAAGTTTATGTAGATGACATTATTTGGAAGTATCAATACAACTTGGTGTCATAAATTATTAAATGAGCAGAATATTTAAGCAAATTTTGATGGTAGAAATCAACTTTTTGTGGGACTTCCAAGTGAAGAAATAAGAAAATAGCACCTTCATTTGTCAATAAAAAAACATTAATTACATGTTTAATAGTTTCATATAAGGGAATTCAAATATAGTGAAAGCCTATTAGCCTCTTAAAAAATAAGATTTAAAAAATCAAGGTAAACACGATAACAATGAATAGTATATAAGAATAATACCACTTTTATATCATACTGTCGATGAGCCTTACAATATATTTTAAATATGCATTTGTGCTCGTTTTCAGACAAACCCAAGGAATCTCCTTAGACATAGTAAAAGTTATATTTCAATAATTGATTAAAACCCTCAATTTTTGCCATATAACATAGTTGCTTACTCCAATGCAAACTATGTTAGTCGCAAAGCAAGTAAAAAAAGCACCTCATGACCATACCAATCTTGCAACTACCCACTGTGCCTTAGTCTAGCCTGAATAAGAATTATGTAGTTTGATCCATTTTGAAGGTAGTGACGTTGCAGGCAACTTTGTTGCCTATGTGCATTAGCAAAGCAATAATTAGACCATTGTGAAACAAAGCTATATCATATTTGTTGTTTAGTGTGATGAACTTAATTAAGAACCCAACTCAACACTTGCGGTCAAAACACATCGAGATTAGATATCGATTTATTCGAGGTCACAATGCTTGAGGTGATGTTGAAATTCAATTTGCTGGCACAGAGCATTAGATGGTATACATTTTTACCTAGCCTTTAGTTGAGAATAGGTTCTATCACAATAGAATAAAATTAGTGTAGTTCGATCAATTTGCATACATTTCTTGCCTTTGGCGCTTAGTATAATTGTTACATTTTTATACTGCCAAAAGGAAATAAAGATTGCATATCGGATGTCATGACCTGACCCGGTGCTTGAAATTAACCAAGACGGGAACAGACGGTCGGACGGTAAGTATTAAATTTTCTATATTTATTTACTATTTAACAAGTGAAAGAGCCACTAATCAGATTAAATTAAAACAATATATTAAAATTTACCTTGATATTAGTTGTTCATGTTTTCTGTGAATATTATCCCTTGTAACGCTAATCATTTAATCACTTAATTCATCTAAAAAGTTATTTTAAAAAAATAATGAGCTAGAAAAGCCAGTGAACACTCATATTCTTAAAATACAACAATACAAGAAAAAAGAAAGCAAAAAAATATCAGTTAAACTTTTAGTAAATCAATATTAATATTTGAGATACTATCAATGAATCTTACTATATCAATGCATACTAATATCATTTCATGTATATACAGTTGTCACAGAAGCATCATCTAAAAATTGTACAACTTAAGGTACTTCAATATCAATATCGTTTTTCATATACTTGCACAAGTATCTTAGTGTTCCCCAACCAGTACCATAAAAGGATGTATTCATCATATTCAGTCATGCAGATATAATGATTCTATCAAAATCAATATTTACTAAGAATATATTTCATTCCTATTTGTGTATCAGACAATATACTTATAAATCATTCAAATGATAATTTAAATAATATTGTACACACATATCATTCCTACAAAATGAACAAAAATTAATTAGAATTCAAAGTCCTGAGTTTGCCGTAACTTCAATATAACTCTAATGATAGTACTAGTAAATGTATTTAGTCTAGAACTAAAATATCACTATAGTATAAGAACATGAGTACTCAAAACGATATTGATTAATTTATTATTTGATTTGTCTTGACATCAAATCTTCTGAAATTAGAAGCCTAAAAAAACATAAATATTCATAAAAAAAGTAATTAATTTATTATTTAATTATATAAACATAGACCTATATAGTCATTAAATTTATTTTAGTTTTTCATGAAACGTTTAATTAATTAATTCAGCTAAATTTTTATTTTAATATTAAGCTACCTCATATATTCGTATTACTATATACCATACAATATTGCATTTAAATAATTTATTTTCCTAAATTTTTAACATGCTTAACTTCAAGACCTTTAAATTGGCTTGCAAATCTAATTTCATATAAAGAATAATTAAACATTTAAATTAAGCTTCATTGCCTGAATTCATTCCTGCATCAAAATTTTCTTTTTCATGCTTTAGCCTTTTACCGATTACTTTTAAACAATTAGTATTCAAATTGAAATCAATTTAATATAAAATTTGTAAAATTTTATATTAATTAATTATAGTAACTTAAATAACTATGTATTTTACCTTAACCTCTCCCTTGCCCTAAATCATTCGAACTGAGCGGCAAGACTCAGTGGAGCATTTAATTCACAAAAGAAAGTCTATTCCAACTCTAAAGTTTTCGATGGAGTGCGCCTACTGACGTGAGAGCCCTTCTCTTCTTCCTTCATGCTCGTGAGCGTTGTTGGCTCGAACACCTGTGTAAGCGACTGCCTTCATCCTACGTCCGAGTCTTTTGCTTCGACTCCCGCACGATCAAGCTGTCACCACTTTTTCCTTCTCTGTGCGACAGAGGCACCACCTACTCCTGTCTAAGACGTCCCTAGAGCGTCAGATCATGGTGTCTCTTCTCTCATCTCTACAGGTAAGTAATCTAGCCTTATCACATTGTTTTTACAGAGCAAACTCGACTCCTTGGCTTCCAATCCCCTTGTTTCCTTTCCCCCCTTTCCGTTATCCCCAACTCTTCATTTCTTCTTCTTCGATTTCACTCGCGTGTTCGATTTTTCGATTCCTCTCCTTTGTGTAGACAAAATGAAGTGTTCTATCGGATGCCCTCACGTTCAGTTAATACAATAATATAGAGGGAGTTACTTCATTTAGTCAATTTTAGTATTGATTAAGAGAGACATTTTGCACCACAATACGTGTATGTAGCCAACATGATCTATCATCATAGAAAGAGGGCACTATTAAGGACTTGCTGGGTTAATGAGACTGTTTTAATGATAGAAAATATATAATTGGAAGAATAGGCGTTTCAAATTTCATGATTACAAAATTATTGGGATGTAAGAATCATAATGGAAGCAATGATTTAAAATTTTAGATTTGATCTAACGACCAAAAGAACATGCAAGAAAAAACTCGAACTCGGCCATTTTATTGAATCTTTTATTCATTATGTAATCAATAAGCAATCCAACTCCATAACTAACAGCAAGCTAACTCAAGTTGAAACAAACTCAACATTTTGTTACAAGTACTCCAAATTATTTGACATATACTCATGAACTCATATTTTGATCATACCTTAGCCATCGTTCAGATGATTAAAAATTGATAAGGTCATGCATACAATTTGATGTTTGCATATATGCTGCTCAATCTGACCTATGAATCAAGATTTATAGACGTTGGAAACTATTATTTGCATCAGAAGATTTCTACTCTAATTATATATATATATATATATATAGAGAGAGAGAGAGAGAGAGAGAATCATGAATCATACATATGATCGTCCAGTAAAATTTATAAGAACTACTTTAACTTCTTAAATTTAGCAGGTATTTTTATAGCTGTTGGGAAGGTTCTTAAACCACATTTTTGGCTTAAAAATACCTTTATTTAAGATCATTAAGATGTTACATAAATTCATTGCAAAGTACTCTCCATTCCATTCATTCTAAACTTATTCATCTAAAATTGTCAAAGGAAAACTCTAAACAAAGCCAACTGAAGTTTAAAGTGTTAAATCATTTGCAAGGTTTCCGCAATCATGACTTTTCTTCGGCGACTTTCATCATATTGTATTTTTTTTACCTTTGAAATTATTAAGTCTAGGAAGACTTAGTAGTTGCTTTGTTGTAACATATAGTGAGAATGGCAGGGTAAATCCAAATTGTAACAAGAAATAGTGACAGTTTCTTATCGGCTGAAGAAGCAATAGTGAGGGTGGTAAGGGGAATCCAAATTAGAACAAGAATTAGAGATGGCAGATGCCAATTAAGGCCAAACCACTCATGTTTATGTTTTCATTTCTAGAAATTGTGATTGCTTAGTTCCAAACTTACGTGTGAGAAAGACATTATGTTTGTGCAGTTCCTCTACCAGCTTAAAAAGAGGAGGTGATAGTGCTAGCGAAGCCTTAATTCAAATGGCAATAAACTTGAAAACCTAACAATGGTATGATCAATATAGGGTTGAAAGGTTCCTATCGAAAGACCTCAAAACAAACCAATGGATAAATACAGAGCAAAGAATAGAAGATAAAGATGATGTATTGGCAGATTAATAAATGAGACAGAGACTAAGTTTAGGGATTTAAGCCTGCCAAAGGGAATAGTTAAAATAAAATCAACACAAGACTTGTACGGAATATATTCAAAGGTATTTCTTTTAAAGGTTGTTAGGTTGGAAGGATTTGCAATTTCTGTAATTCTTTTACAGGGATTTTAGGAAATTGCGTTTTTGGTATGAAAAATTACAAATATAATATAAAGTATGAATAAATTCACACATTAGTTCATTTTGACTAAATTTAGAATTCGGCCGATTTCGCCGAATTTAAGTTATACTTTAAAATGCTCTCAGCAAGTTGTCACCGTCATCTGGCCCCGCACGCCTCCTACCATCGCTCACCACAGTCGCTCATCAGCCCCCGTCAGTCATTTTCTGCCTCAATCTGCCACCTGTTGGCTTGGCCCTCGCCGCCGCCAGATAAAATATTATATTTTTGAAATACATTGTTTTCAGTTTACTTCAAATCGAATAAAAAAATATAAATTTCTATGTTTATTTTACAGTAAATCCGACAACTCTAAATTGTTTCAAATATATTGTACTCAAACTACTCTACAAACCTTTTACATTGCATTTCACTTTGAGCAAACCATACAACCCCTAAAACTTCACAAATTATTCCATTTAATGTGTTTCACTTTCATTAAGCTCATTAGAAAAGGATATTTTCCTTAAATTAACATTAAAAAAAACTCAAATTGCTTCAAACACATTTTCAACATTTTTAAAAAATTGTAACTGGCAATATAAAATATCAAACTAAAAAGAACAATACATTAGAAATTTTACAGATCAGAAAAAGTAGTAATTTAATCAACTGCATTATTTAAGTTCTAGCCCTGGAAGAAGCAAAATAAGGAAATCTAGATCAACAGCCGGTAGCTAACTCCAAAAGAGCAGCAATAAGAAAATCACACAAACAATCAAAGTAGCACAAGAATTAATCACTCAGACAAAATTATGATAGCATAAAAAAGCCAATTAACCTGAATCAAATCCACGATACTTTTATAACAACCCGGCAAAGGAGATGTTGACTGTCCAGACGCAGTGCCAGAAGTATTTAGGGCAGTATCATTACTAAATTCTGACCCAGGTGACCTATCATCCTCATGTTCCTCAGCATGGGTAGAAAGGATAAGACGTGATGCAGGCAAATATCTTTTGTTTCCATCATCCAAAGAAGGAATTCTCCAATTGTCACCAATATGGTGTGCCAAGCGACGATTCTCTTGTGAGACAAGAGGAGGGGGAATCCTTGGGTTTAAATTAACATTGGAGTGGTAATAAGCTACATAAGCTGGATCAGCACGAAGCTGCTCTTCAGACTGACGCCTTTCAAACCCAATGTTCAAATTTTCAAGGATGGCATTCAACTCAGCATTCTGCTGTCCTCCTAAATCACGAATAGCTAGACTAGAACCTTCCATGCTGGGAGGAGCACTGCCACTTCGGCTAGGGGCAGTAAACCTTTGGTTCCCAGAAAATGAGGCAGTATCCATGCTAGCGGGCCAATTTCTAACAACATTACTTCCAATTAGCCTCACAGGAATCTCTGTTGCCATTATACTCCAATGAACTATTTCTTTATCAATACCACATATAAATTAATGCACCAACGGGTGACCCTCAATACCTGAAATTTAGCAAAAACATATCAAATTTTCATAAATTGCTCATAATGTTATTTCCAATTCAATATTAATCATCAGAAACTTAATTGATATCACCAGCATTCAGTAGTTACAAGTCTGGAATGGGAAAGAAAAATAGTGGAAGAAACTAGAACTCATGGGAAGGCCCAATGCAGGATTTAAAAATTATATAAAACAAAACAATAAAGCAACGAACTAAAATAATTCAAGAGAGGTCATAGAACACAACAAAGACCTTGATGTAGCTCAAGTCATACACCAAGACCTCACAGGTAGGTCCTTTCATATCAAGGCGACAAGTGTAATTATGGTGAATAAATAAAAAATCAGAAATATTAAACGGCAGTACCTGAATTTAGCCAAAGGTGAGACTAAACTTTGTCAAATGCATGCAATACCGAGGAATTCACAACCAAAAATAAGAGAGAGCAAATTCAACAGCGTTATTACTAGAGCTCCACTCAGCTTGAATCATTTTATCATCCTGCATATATTCCCATATAATACCACAGTAACTCTGATAAAAAAGATAAATTGCAATGTGGAAGATAAAGAGCAATTGATCAATTGAACATATTTAATGAACCTTCTCAAAGAAAAAAACAATTTAAACTCTAAAGAAAGCGCAAAACTTGATTGGTCAGCAAAGAATTACCAAAAATTCATAGTTAACATCCACCCAACAACCTACAATGAAAGAAAGTGCTCATATAAGTCCAATCTCAGGTTTTCCACAACTATGGCACTGTGGAACATAATGTTAATAAAATAGTGGGTGGAGACCTATCCAAAAAAAAAATGCAAAAAAACAAAGCATATAAAGTTGACTAAAATAGTAAACAAAGTTTGCTGAGGGTCATCTGTAACAAACACCGGAGCTTACAGAAAGGCAGTCCATTGCTTGACATTAATTTTCAAGGAAAATAACAAGCCAAACGAACAAATTACTAAAGAAAGACTAGAAAAACAAACATGAACCCTTGCATCCTAGGCTTCAAAAACAGACGAGAATTTCTTAAAAGAAAAGGAAGAATATCATCAATTTTCAAACATTCCACAAATTAGTAGCTTCATGCTCACCCCGCTGTTACATCACCATTTCTCTATAACGAATTGAACTCCAATCCCCCCAATCCAAAACCCAAATACACAAATATTATCACTTTCTATTGAAAAAGACGTACCAAAAACCATCATGAACAGTACAAAAGAAGCTGAATTCACTTAGGCAAAAAACTGATCGACAGGACCTACCTTCAAGCATCAATTCACCAACAATCAAAACCTCAAGAACTCAAAGCCGATCCCCAAAACCCTAGGCTACATCATAGAATCCAACGAGAACAGGTCAAGTGAGCACAGCAAGAACATAATCTGAGAGTAGATAATAACCCGTGTCCCCGCCACCAACCGAACTCCTACCTCCTCAATCCCGTGCGCAAATCCACAAACTAACTCAGACGTTTTTCTTTAAGCTTTTCGATAATTTTGAACTGCAGAATAAAGAAGAACGAGAAAAAGAAAGGTAAGAGGAGGAAGTCGTCTGTCTCTCGAGGTTTCTTCCTCCTCGATACCTGAAATGTCGATTCTAAAACCCCGAATAACCGGGTTTTGTAATTTAATTACCCCTTAATTTTGTTTTCTGACTCAGCAACTCCAAATGACGTAAATACCCGGCATCCTCGCTTTTGCTGTGCTGCTTCGCCGCAAAACGAAATCCGAAACACAGAATAGCCAATGGACTGATCTGATGTCCGTGGTTTGCTTTAACGATTATCTGGTAGCATGATGGTCATTCCTTCATGAATGCAAAACATATTTAATTCACACGTAAATTATACATTATATTTATCATTATAATTATAATGTTAAATCTGAATCATTAATAGAGCATAAAAGTGGGAGAGAGAGAATTTGTGAGAGAGAGAAATTGCACAAAAAAAATCTGATTCTTTTAAGGTTAACTTATTGATCATTTATTATTAAAAAATTAAACAATTTTTCCTCATGAGGGTGTTACAAGCTATTTTAAGCATATAAAAAATAAAGGAGCATATGGCTCAAGTGCCCTATCATTCGGTTGAAGATGATCTGTAATCCTTGGGTCCGCCAAGTACATTCGACCGACTTTATTGTCTTGGGGTGATCAGTCGACCCTGATAGTTCATCGGTCACCTGCACTTCATTTGGTCGATTTGGGTCAGACGTTTGGTTGTTTGGATCCAACTGTCGACTATTGAACATTGGATGGGAAATTCATGTTGTCAGGATATAACTACGCTATCAGGTAAAGAATGAATAATCGTAATCTAATGAGTAGTCTACCCATTTTGGCAACTGATTCATCTGGAGGTTTGATGAATATTTGGTGACAAGGTCATTGGGTCTTTCGAAGAGACTTGGAGGCTCTTGTGGGGCATATGGTGAGTTTTGGACGAGAGTTGGTCTAGTTCTTTCTCTCTGTTAGATACATTTTGATCTTTGACTCGGACAACCTTCATCCGGTCGACCCAACTCAAATTTTGTGGGAGTTGTGGCTGGTCAATGGAATTCTTTGGTCTTCTACAACGATGTTCGTGCTCTTTTTGATGGGTCATCCTTGACCAAACTTTTGTCTTGTAGCCTGTTGAATTTATTTGAGATTCATACTGACACATTTCTAACATACGCATTTAGTTTTATGATTCTCTTACTTCTTGAAAGTCATGTTATGATGAGAATAAGAGAATTTAATGCAAAATTAGATTCATTTATTTTATTATTCTGTACTTTAATAATTGAACCCACTAAATTTTTGTTCCCATGGCCTTTTATAATTAGGATACGATTGGTGCTTTCAGTATCCTCATCGGTTGAGAATGTCTTATTTAGTCGTCTGTTTTTTTAGGATCACTATGGAAAGCGACCAAAAGACCCTGGTTGATCGTAGTGCCGAGGATATATTGGTAAAAACCTTTGGTGACACTGCATCACATGCCCACTGGGAGAAATAGCTTGAGAGGAAGAAGGGGACGGAGGGAGGTTCCTGTCCTAAGGGTGAGAATATTGAAACAAAGAAGTTGAGTGAAGGGAGTTGCCTAAGGGTGTGAGGAAACTTGTGATGATGAAGAGACCAGCAAAAGGAGGCCAATCTCAAGGTGTGAGGCAAGTTGAGCAACTCACTTTTAAGAAGAAGTGAGTGGAAGGCTCTGGAGCTAAAGTCTCGTTGTCCGACTCACTACCCCTTCAACAAAAGTAAGGAGGCCAGCCTGCTAGTGCGTCGACCCCCTGCTCCTGTTGTGGTCAGCACTTAGCTAGCAATACCTACACAAGGAATAGTCGGGGCCTCGTTGACCTCTGACCAGAGCTCTGCAATTCTAAAATTAGTCCTTACGGATAAAAAAATAGGTGCTATACAAGACAAGGGACCTTCTTTTCCAGAACCGGACTTTAGTCAAGTGGCTGTAGAAGCCCCATCAATGTCTGGTGAGAGTTTTCCTTCGTGGCATTGGTCCGAGTTATAGCGAGCCTTGGCTATATGATGATGATTTGTTTTGAGAGTAAGTTCTTTTTAGCTAATGCGCATTCATTGATGTAGGTGGCATGGTTCTAAGTGTCTATTCACTGCTACAGGTGTCACCCGAGTTCCTGCTTCTGGTGCAGCTTAGAGGACCTCGGCCCGGATAATGAGTAAAGAGGACACAAATGATGACCTGGTGATACGGGTCAATATTACGTGGTTTTACCTATCAATTTTTATGCATTTAACATGTTATTCATATTTAATTATCACATATTTTGACTTTAAAAAGGTAGCTTGTTCTTGTTATGTAGGATGTAAGAGCTAAATATGAATAAGTTGAAATGAGAAAAATTATGCGAAAAGTACCCTGAAGCAGCGTGACCACGGCTAAAGTTGGCAGGACCACGCTATCTATCGAACATAGTCGGTATGACCATATCAGAATTGGTGTGACCATGCCACCTAGAGCAGTAGGGCGACTTGACCATGCCACAATCAGGCATGAAAATGCCGACCCTTGTAGTTTAGTAATGTGACCACGTCAAAAATGAGTGTGACCACACCGATGAGAGGGAAAATACTTTAAAAAATAAATTTGATGGCTCTAGCCGTGATTCTTAATATAAAATCAGTTCTTAGGGCATCTTCAAGATAGTTCCACATGAGAGGAAGCTTGGAGTCTGAAATAAGAGAGTTTTGGAGAGATTTTGAGGACTTTAGAAGGTTGTCTTCCTCCTTTAGTGGAAGCCTTTAAGGGAGAATTTTACTTTTACTTTGTTAGTTATGAGAGAGTTGTATGAGAGTAAAAGGTGCTAATCTTGCAGAGAACAATTTTTTTTAAGCTTTTCATAATTATGTTGCTTGTAATAAATTTTCACGTGATGTTTTTTTCTTTGGTTTTATTCATATTGAGCGGTTAAGTTTTTCTTCGTGTCTCTGTGGTGTGTGGAGTAGTGAATTTATTGTGGTTTTTCTCTAATATTTTTTTGTTAAGCATTTTTTAAAAGCTTATCATCGCCTTGTTGTTAGTTAACCTCCAATCTTAATTTACTCCTAGTTTGGTTAACTAGGATGTTAAAATGTTTCATGAAACTACTACCTCTAACTGTTGCATAGTAGAAACAAAGGGTTAACCATAAAATTTAGAGAGGATAGAGATATTCCAATAGAATTTTTCAACCTTTCCAGGGGATCACAAAGGTCATGTTGAATGTCATGGGGATTGAAGAATCTTTAACATCATAGATTCTGTCTGGTTTACCTTTACATTTTTCAATCACAAAGTCCTTTTTAACATTGGCCTTGCTTTGGGAAAACCACTGAAAATGAATGTTCCCACTTTCAATTTCTGCAGGCATCGGTAGCTAGAATTTTGGTCGAGAGGGAAATCACCCTATCTGAAGTAGAGGAGATCTAGCTGGGCACATCTGATGAGGGGATTTAACAAAAAATTGTTATGGAGAAAAGGCCTTATTATTGTCCCCACTGCAGAATGTTTGGTAATACAAAGGACATATGTTATAGAATCCATCCTCCAACTAAGAAAAAATTTGCAGGCCCTATCTTAGAGCTTGTAACAACTTTTGTTGCTGTTGAAACTTCAGAGAATAGGAGAAAGGAAGGGGTGGATTATGGTCCTAATGTGGAACAACTATCTCCCTCTCTTCATGTTCAGTCTGAGCCTACTCTATTAGTCAATCCACTTGTGGAAGTGGGTATTCAGGTGGGGATATCTTATCCCTCTCATCTAACAAACCCTAAAAATGTGGCATCTGTTGAAGCGGATATTCCTTTGGGGGCAGTTTGCACTCCCTCCCTCACAATTTCTGAACCAATGGTACCAACTGTTGGATTACTAACTGAGATGAATTGAGCTATGGAGAATGATTGGCAAATACAAAAAGCAAGGAAAAAAACCAGCTAAAAAATTCAGATATTAAACGATGATCCTCTCTCTATGATTGCTAGCCCCTCTAGGGGGGTTCTCCCTCCAGAACTAGGAGAGGGAGAGTGAGATCTAGATCTCAACCTTCTCCTCATGGTTAACTTCTTGTGCTGGAATATTAGGGGAATTTCTCATCATCTTTCAATTCAAAAATTACTTTATTTAAATAGGAAACATAAACATTGGTGCATTGCAATTTTGGAACCAATAGTATACAAATATCCTCAGAAACTGATTTGAAAGTTTACTGGTTTTTCTCATTTTTCTAATATCAATAATAAGATTTGGATCTTTTGCAGAAAAAAAATAAATTGGTTTGTTTTAATTGATAACACCCAATTTGTTCATCTCTCTTTCCTTATGAATGGTAACTCTGGTTTTGTAACTTTTGTATAAGCTTGTTGCAACAAGGTTGATAGAGTAGAGCTCTAGTCTGCCCTCGACTTAATCAGTTCTAATATGTCTTCCAGCTGGCTGGTGGGAGGGGATTTCAATTGCATTACCTCTTCTGCTGAAAAGACTGGTGCAAGAACTTCTAATCTTTCAAGAATCAATTCTTTGTGTGATAATATACAAAAGTGTTGACCTCACTTTTAGTGAAGGCCTTAAGATAATATCCATAGACCAAACTCAACTTGAGGAATCTTATGATTTTAGATTCTCAAACACATTTAAAAGACCTAAAATGATCATTGTGATCATTATTGGGTTTATAAACCTAATTTGAGTTTATCAAGTTTAAGGTTAATTAAACCTAATTTAGGTAAGGTTTAATTGATTAATTAGACTTAATTTATGGTTAAGTCTAATTGGGTTTAAAGGTTAATTAAACCTAAATAGGTAAGGTTTAATTGATTAATTAGACTTAATATGGGTTAAGCCTAATTGGGTTTAAAGGTTAATTAAACCTAAATAGGTAAGGTTTAATTGATTAATTAGACTTAATTTATGGTTAAGTCTAATTGGGTTTAAAGGTTAATTAAACCTAATTTAGGTAAGATTTAATTGATTAATTAGACTTAATACGGGTTAAGTCTAATTGGGTTTAAAGGTTAATTAAACCTAATTTAGGTAAGGTTTAATTAATTAATTAGTCTTAATTTGGGTTAAGTCTAAATGGGTTAAAATGTTAATTAAACCTAATTTTGGTAAGATTTAATTGATTAATTTGGTCTAATAAGGGTTAGACCTAATTAAGATTTGTTGAGTTAAACCTAATGTAGTTAAGGTCTAACTATGGTTTAATTAGGTCTAAATGTGGTT